CTGAGAAACAGAGAAAGGAGGGACAGAAAGGGAAAAAAAGAACGACAACACTATGTGATCTCTGAAGTCATATGATGCAGAGGAATAAGGCAGACTTGAAAGTTGGCCTATTTCATGGTCAGGCACTAGGACTGGGAAGGGTCTTGAATGGCAATGCATCTACTTTAATGTGACAGACAAGTCCCTAGGCAAAACAAGCAGACCCATGGCAGGCAGGCCCAGGTACTTCATGAGTGTGACACCTTCGCCAATCCACTGGAAATGTTGTTGCCGTATGCTCCGCTGCCTCATCTTAGGTTTTACCCAAATAAATTTGCCTCTCATCCGGACTGACGATTCCACAAGCCCCTTGCCCGCCTGTCCTCCCTGGAACTGTTGAGATCATGAATGTCCTTGTCGACGTTCACAGGGCCTTGCTCCTGATAAATGTGTGCCCGCCTTGGGACCCTCTCGCTGCCTGATATTGTGCGCTACGCCAGTCGGCAAAGCTGGGACAGAGCTCTGCTACATACACATTCCCGCATTCAGAGACTGTTTCCTTGTTCCTGCCCTGTGATGCTGTGACAGGTTGGATGGCCAGTGCCTGGGGCAAAATCCTACTTGGCTTTGCATATCTACAGAAAAAGTATCATGTAAATACAATGACTGCACATGACTATAAATGAAGAGATTTCTAAAAATCAGTATGTGATCTGTGTACTTACAATATTTGTGCTGATATCACAGTTTCGGTGGATGGAAAAGACAAGAGTATCAATCTCAGTTAGCCACAGGGAATCAGACAGGAAAATATGAAGATGCATATAATGGCCGCGAGGCAGCAGACACTAACAACTGAATATGATGTACTTTGAATACAATGTATGAATAATAACTTAATCTTTACATCCGATTAAATAATTCTTTATGACGAAATACACAAAAACATACACACAAAACCTCAAAAAACATAGGATCATCGCTAAAATTAAAAGGGCCCAAGACCATTCATAATATTTAATCCCCTATACCCTTATGGGTCAACATGTAAGGTAAAAGACCATTGTACACAGGGCCTCGACAACAACCCTGTATATAGTAATATATAGTATGGTATATGGTAAATAGTACATGCTACCAAAAAATTGAAAGACCTGTCGAAACAATTAATTAAAAAAGTCAAAATGCATTTTTGCATAAAACATGAAACAATTCAAGGATAACTTTTAAAAGGTGTTTTTAATTAGTTTAAATGACAAATAATAATAACGATAATAATAAATACTTCTGTGAACATTTTTAAATACAGAAAGAAGAATCTTATGTATTTAACGTCACACATTTACGAGAAGACTTTATTTTCCATGGTGTTTTCTTGGTCGAACATTTACCAGGGAGGAAGCATGTAGTCTGAATTGACAGCTGTCAAAATTAAGATCGCCTGTAATCGTATGAATATTCATCACAGCGAATATTCCCGCTTGTGGAATCCATCTGACAGAGGAGCACACCAACTCCTGTAAGTCAAATCACAGTGGATAGATGTGATTCAAACCATTTCCTGGAGTGTGGGTTGCACATCTGGTGTAGCGTATTTCATCATTTTAAACAGTGTAAGACGAATGTGCATTAAAAGAAGTCCAAATTCAATACGGAGCACACAAAATGAGTTGTTCAGCCGATCTTAACATTTACTGCTATACATAAAACAAAGAGTTGAACGTTTTCTTCTTAGCAGGATCCTCCACATTAATTTGCCCGTACGGACACTGTCGGGAAAAACAAGAAGTTTAGAGTTAACATATGGGTACTGTAAAGTTAAAAAATAATAGTTTCATGTGGACATATATAAAAAATCAACTAAATTTTACTCTAAATAAAAAATGCTTACTACAAAATATACACAATACTGGCTGACATTTGCTTTCAGCCCTCTTGTAAAAGATATACATCAGAAAAAAATAAGCTTACATGTCTGCAGGCACTCCCGCAACATCTTCCTCTCTTCCTATGGGCAAACTCAGTGAACACATTGTAGCCGGTTATAGGGTCAACGTATGTTATTTTCTGATTCTGTGAACAGATGCAATTTGCAAATTATCATCTGTTTTTTAATGTTCAAATATAAGACTGTATATAAGGATCAGTGTTCCGTAAAGAACATATTTCAGGGTAAAATATCAAACTTCTACGCGATTATAATATATATACATATACTTTATAATGGCAATTGTTTTTTAAAAGTTGTATATTTAACACGTTTTTAGAATGAATGATAATACAGCGGAAACGCAATACAAACGTTGTTTCTTAAGCATAATTTCTGACTCTTCCTCAGAAAGTGCCGGCTTCATTTATGACAGCCTTCGATGCCTAAAAGGCCCGAGGCACTTTTTGTGGCATGCCATTTCAGATGCCATCCTTTGGCTCCATAGTGAAGCTGACACTGTCTGTGCATCCTCCAACTCTATGGGTCTTCCATAACTTTCCCTCGGCCATCAAACTACATCACTTCTGACAGCCAAAAGGAACTTTCAAAAATGACCCAGTCTTCCATATACATTAGTAGCCAGACTAGTCTGCAAGTAAGAGGTCTAGTGCGTTTTTTTTTAGTTACCTAATCATGTAAACATGTCCTTAGAAGTGTATATCCATGATAATGCCTAATACTGAACAATCTATGTCGGTTAGGATTCCTCACATAGATCACTGATCCAGACTCCAGCGTTTTAACACAAGTCTCTTTTAAGTGTGACACCAGCTGCTAAAATTTTGCTCGTACCTTGCATGCGTCCATATGGAGTTTATGAATGAATCTGTCTTCATCTGAAAGCGTGCTCGTGTCAGGTGACGCGGGTGTGTTTTTATCGAGAGAATTCGAATTTGGTTCGCTCTCTCGTGCGCTGCAATGTGAACGCGGCGTCCTCGTATTATATACCTCATTTGAAATTATTATATTAGTTCGACTGCGTTTAAAACGCGTTAATATTAAAAGTCTAACTGAACCGAGCAGCAGCATAACTCATGCTAAAAAGAAACTAAAAAGTCCTGTCACGACGTTCCTTGCAAACTTCTGACAGTAGCTACGTAAACCTTTATTAACAGTTCACACAACTACTGCCTACATGACAACACGCTATTGCTGTTTTATAATTATTTATAATTATATTCGCCCTTTGCTGCCATTAAATGTTAAAATCGCCGCTGTGTTCTTCCTCATTGTGCTTTTCATGTTCTGTGTCATGTGCAAGGTGCGCCCCCTCTGTTGGACTGTGGAATTGCAGTAGTGGGAAAAATTTGCATTTTAAGGGGAGAGGGGTAGTTTGCACACTTTTAACTATACAGAATAGAAATTCTGTCAATTTTACCACCTTAAAGTGTGTCGCTATTATCCATGTAAAAAATAGTTAATTGAACACACATTGACCTTGAGTGACAACGTGTTACGTGCCCCACATAGGATAAATTGTCTCAATGAAATCTGCCTATTATAACCTTTTTAATAAAATTAAACATTAAATAGATTATACAATCATGAAATACAAAACAATACTTGACACAGCAAATGTAAAGGTAACATACAAAAACCATACCATTGTTTTGACCAACAAATGGTGTAATTATTAATTGTATAAATAAAATGAATGATAAATAATTCAATTTAAAAAACTGCATATTATATAAATAATATATTTATGACTTTTAAAACACAGGACAACTTGCCCCAATAGTGTGATAACTTGTGCTGACCTGACATTTATGAAAACAGGCAATTACTGTTCATCTGCCTTCATTATAATTGACTCTCACATGTGCATTTTAACCTACAGACTAGCATATTCAAATCCTTAGTATAGAATATAATAAATTACTCATGTGCAACTTACTGAAGTGGTTGTGGTACACAAACCTTGTAGTAGGCCTATTTTTCCACAGGAAACAAATACAAACGCATGTCCGTGTATTGCAACAGGTTTTACTGACTAGGCGTTGACCCATAAGAAGCACAAGCTATTTTTTAAATAAGTGGGTGGTGTGAATTTATACTTCCTTTGCCTTACCACTAGAAACTGTTTATCTTCTAAACAGGCCTTGTTTTTTACAGGCCTATTTTTAAACACCATAGATGTCTTGGCATTCCACAGAAATGTTTAAGGATGTAATAATATATTAAAAAGTTCTGTGTAAACCATAAAAACATGCTTAACATGCAAGCCAGTATCAGTAGACATGCCTGTGCATGCGCTGAAGGATGCAATTAAAGGGACAGTTCACTCAAAAATGCCATTGAGTCATCCTCATGTTTTTCCAAACCTGATTGACTTTAGCCCTATTCGCACGGGATTAGTATTACCTGGTGACCTCCAGTCATTTGTAATAATTGTGGAGGTTGTCTGTGTTCTTAATCCCGTGCGAATCGGCCATGTCTGTAATTTGTAAAGTAAAAATTCCCCCGCAAATGACCTACCATATTTCGCCGAACACCGAGGTCCTGTGATAATATTAGTCCCGTGCGAATCAGCATCTCTGTGATTCAGCCAGCATTTGGCGGGTCGCATATAATTTTTCGAGCTTTTTGTTTGCTGTGCGCCTTTTTATCCATCTTTCGCGAAGAATGGAGCTGCGTTGGAGTGTTTGATAGTATTTTGGGTGCTGTCATCATATCTCTACACCATACAATTTGCAGAAAGAGAAAGCTGAAAAGGTTTTGAGGTTAATGTGTTACAAATAAATCAAGCATAAAGCTTGAGATATTATTTTAACCTGGTGAAATGTAAATGACACAGCGCACGAAACTATATTAGTTTATTTTTTTTTTTAATCCATCTGGACCATAGAACGGGACTCTCAAAGCCTTGACATCCGGGTATCCGGAAGACAAGTCAGTAAATTCGAGTAAAATCACAGGCTTCGCTTATCCCGTGCGAATGAATGCACCACACGAAATTGTCATTCTGCCTGTCATCTCATTTCGTGTTTCACAGCAAAAAGAAACTCATATAGGTTTCGAACAAAATGAGGGCGAGTCAATAATGACGACATTTAAATTTTTGTGCCATCCTACTGAAATACAGGCGCGCGCGATCGCTCAGGTGCTTCCTGGTGCTTCATTGCAGGATCACAGGCAGGGGAACCGAAACGCTCAGGAGCGCTTCCAGGAAGCGTCACTGGGGAGCACGCGCGCCGACAGACCGAGAAATGCAGCAGTGTCTGCGACTCTCCGTCAGGTAACCGCGAAACTAGAAGGTTCGCAGGCAGTGCGCGTGGCTTGGAGTGCGCGACGGTGTTTTTATTTTCCCGCCGTCGGCGCGAGCTGCTGCTGACGCGATGCTTTAGCCATGGACAGCAGGATAAAGTAAGTCCACAAAGGTTTACCTTACACGGTACTCCGGGTTGACGCGCTACGCGTTATCGGTCTCCGTATTAAAAGTCTCTCATAGGGTTAAAATGACGATAGTGGTTATTGTAAATAACCATTTGGGAGCTGGTACAGCTGATCGGTTAGCTGTTTACCTCAGACATGCTAACTAGCCTAGCCGCATTCCTCTACAGCCATTTAAACTTGACAGCTTGCACATATTTCATTTTACTGGAATTAGACGCCGCTGTTAGCATTTATGAATGTAACTTAGCACACTGAAAAGAATATCATGAGTTCTCATGAGCAAACTGACTACTTTATTCTCTAATGACATGTCGAGCTTTTAACGGAGGAGTCTAAATTAACATTCAAACGTATGTTTTTCTCTAGCAGGTGTTACAGTCACCATTCACTTTTGTTGCATGGAAAATATGCAATGAGAGTGAATGGGGACAGAGACTGTCACTTTGCTGAACATCTTGTTTAGTGTTTTTGACTAAATAATTCAAGTCACATTGGCTTGGAAAGACACTACAGAGTAAATAATAACACAATGTTCGTTTTGGGGCAAACTTCCTTGAACAATCTCAAATTGTGGTTGTTTAAGTTGATAAGTTAGTGAGTTTGACTTGTATTTCCTCTTTCAGTGAGAATCCTGCCAGAACGTTTGATTTGGCACTTCAGGTTGCATGTCCATCATCTGAACATGAAGGTGAGCCTTCATTTCTCAATGTGTTTTCTGTTTTGTTTGAGTGTTTGTATAAATTCAAAACTCATAAGCAGTTATGTTAGAGAGACCTCTCTTTTAGTCACTAACTTTATCTTCCTTGCTGTCAGTATGCTTTGAAATGGCATGAAAGAAATGTTTATACATGCTTATGTAACACTGATAATATTTCATGTCTTTTAAATGATAATATTGTGTATTGTACAAAGATGTATGACAGTCTTTGGCCATTTTTAATGGGCACATTTTATTTATTTTTCGTGTCAATGATACTATACAGATCAGGGTGACTGATGTGGTGATATACATTATGCAATACCATCTAAAAATGAGGCAAATGAGACATGACAACACTTCAGAAATAAAAAAGCATTTATGAACATGAATTTATGAAAATTCACAAAAAAAGTGAAAAAAGGGCTAATATCCAAATTTAAGCATAGTCATATTCAGCTTGTCATCAATCATGATAAATAAATCTAACTTTGTGACAATATACCTTATGACAATATACATACATTAGATAATACCATCTCAAAATGAGGCATAAACAACATTTCTGAAATAAAAAAAGCACTTATTATAAACATAAACAAAAAAGAGGAAGAAATGGATAATATCCAATTTTAAGAACAGCCATATTAAGCTTGTCATTAATCATGAAACATATTTGTAACATCAACATAAAAAACTTAAACATAAAAGCTAAATACTTTATATAAAACCACCTAAAAATGAGAGAAACAACATTTCTAAAAAATAAAAAAATGCACTGATTAAAAAAAAGGCTAATTTCCGAATTTTTTAAAGCATGGTCGTATTAAGCTTATAATCAATTATAATAAATATCTCTAACTTCGTACCATCTAAAACACTTAATTGTGAAACTTACAGCTTGCAGCTTTTTTGTATGTGTGAATATAGTTTTGGGCTTATGTGCTTAGCTGTTTTCCGTGCTTGAAATGGATGAGGAAATTATGCATTTCGTGTATAGGGGATTCACGGGAAGGAAATTATTGCTGTAGATTCGCAGGGTGGCTAGATCTGATGTTCAGATCTTCTGATGGGCTAGCTTGGGCGCGTTTCCATTTTAGATCAGCACTTGCACGGTTTGCATTTACTTTTTAGAAAAACCTGCAGATGTATTTTGGTGTAAGAAGTAGGTTGATTTGCAGTGATATCGATCTCGGTTTGTGAATCTTTTCATATGCTTTGAGCTCTGCAAGGTTGAATAGAAACCACGCAGCTTTAACGGACCAAGTAACAACTGCTGTGCTGTGAAGTGAGACCATTATGAACTTTTTTTTTTTAGTAACCAGAAGAAACATTGAAGTTTTGATTCAATATGAGGTGGATATGAAAAACTGCTTGTTATATGTTTAGCGTATCTAATATCACCGATTTTTGTTCCTACTCTGATACTACCATTATTCTTTTTGCTTGACATTGAAGAGGTGAGGAGCAGGTGGTTCACAGAAGCAGCTGTTGCTCTGACCAAAAAAGGAAAATATTCCCGGTCCAGCCGCTGCTGTGAAAGTTGAAATAAGCTATAACCCACTTCCCTCATCATCATATGTCGGTGTTCGTCTCATTTCCTGACCCCGACTCTCAGGATTACAGCTTCATTTAACCCTCATGTTGTGTTCCCGTCATTTTGACCTAGAGGGGATTTTCTTTTTTTCAGAAAATGCTAGTTAATGTTATGGCATTGAACTAAAACCTACTGACTCTGCTCACACAGGGTATAACAACTTCCAAAAAAAAGTGATAATTTTTCTACTTTTTCTGGATTTTTTTTTACCACCTTGTTTTCCAATTCAAATATGTCCGGCCTGCAAAAAATTGCTTATGATATATTGCTTGTGTTATATTATGGAACTGATTGATCATAGGCCTCATTGAGCTGAGCTTATGCACCTCAGTTTTTGATTGAATATTGCCAAAATGATTCACAAATGCTTTTTTCACTCGGTACATAAGCTCAGATCAGTGAGGCATATGATCAATCAGTTCCAAAAAGAAATACAAAACCTGTGATAATTGAAAGAAAACAAGCTGACAAAAAGACTGAATCCAATATTTGGTGATAATATAGCATAATGAGAGATTTACAAGCAATTTTTAAAAGGCCAGCCATTTTTGACTGGGAACACCCAACATTTTTGGCACAGCGCAAGGGTTAAGAGGCTTTTGGGCCAAACAGAAGTTCGTCAAGGACAGAAACCAATTCCAACCTGAGATAACAGACATGTTGTTAGCCGCAGACAATATCTTCTAGCAAATTTAATGTTGTGGTTTATAAAATACCAGTTCTTTTCCCATTTCCGATTGAAGCATGTGATTGACTGCTCTCTGCCCAGTTCTTGAGTTTCATTCTGTTCAAACATGCTGGACCTGAGGGATCTTGGTTTGCATATTTCTGTCGCCAAATGGGGTGATTCTAGAGCCATTGTGGTAATATGAAGCATTCAAGGGCATTTGTTGTATCTCATCAGACATTCAACCTCTGTATTCACCTCATGTGTCATTTAGCCTAATTTGATATTTGATCAACTCAGTTTCTCTAGAGGAAAATGAAGTCAGACAAATCAAATGGACCTACATGTACATTTCAGTTGCATTTTATATTTCGTTTTATCAGTTCATGCAGTTCTTGGGAATCTAACCTATGACCTTGTGGTGTGAGCTACAGTGACCAGTAAGAGTGGTAAGGTCTTTTTTGGTGTTCAGTTAGTGTTGGTCAGTTTTTTTACTAGATACCAGCATGGTTAGAGGAAACCACCCTCTGCTTTTGTGTCATCTTTCATTTCCCTCTGTGTCCACACAAGTTTACTCTTGAATGCATTTTCTAGTAGTGATGCATTTCAGTTTCACAACATGTCCCACGTTGCCCTGCTACCTGTATAGTGATTTTTTTTTTTCAAAGGCTGAAAAAAAACTAGACATCTTTTGTATATTAAAGCTTGACATTATATATTAGTTAAGCTGTTAGACAGTGTCTACAGTGAAACCTTTGTGTATTTAAATTCAATATCTCTTTAAAGCACTGCTACTGCAACAGTACACTTAACCACTGTGTTGGGTCTTGCACTTTTTTTTCAGCATCCTGCTATGAACAAAGTGTTTGAAGATGGTGTGTTACGTTTAAACACTTTTAAATCTGTTTCTCGTTCTGTGCTAGTCTGTTACACATTGTCTAACAGATTTTGAATGCTGAAGTTTGAAGTGGAAAACTTTTTTGTTTCTGAAAGAAGTCTCTTTTGCCCACCAAGGATGCATTTATTTGATTTAAAAACTAATATTGTTAAAAATAAATGTTTTCTATTTGAATACATTTTAAAATGTAATTTATTAGGGATGCAGTATCCCTAATAAATATTATAAATAATAAAATTAGGGATTGGTATCGGCTCCGAAACTGCCATTTTCTGCCGGATCTGGTATCAGTCAGATGAGACGGATCCAAATCCGATATTGTGCGTATACTATTCTGTGTTATTGTTAAGCCCCACGAAAGGCATATAAAGCACCATAAAGTTTTCATGCACTACACTTAATGTGAGGTATTTTAGTTGTTAAATTCAAGTTCAGTAAACTCTTCTCTCCGCTGCGGCTGTCAGTCATTTTCCATCACATCGTGTCGTGTTTGGTTAAGCAAAGTTCACACTACACGACTTTAAACATTGGCAGATCGCTGTGCCGTTCAGACTACATGACTTGCTGTCTGTCTTGAAGTCGTTGTGGTGTTCACACTACGTGACACTATGTAAATGATCCGCAACAGGGGATCACACACTATACGAGCTGACAACAACTGTCACTCAACGACTCTATCAGGCCCCCAAACCACGTTTTGTCACGAAAACACACGCGAGAAGTTGAACGTTTTGAGAATGGACGTCTGGAAGAACTTAGTGCTGCAACTTAGTATCCCTCAATTTCTTGTCCAAATTTTCTTAAAGCCATGTTGCTGCTGCTATTTTTCTTCCGCTGACCTCAACCCATGCCTTGCTCTCTCATTGGCTGTAGCTCGTCACGACACCTGCTACCACGTGATGTCGAGTTGGCCGACCGGTCCAGATATTTGGCATGCTAGATATTAGCGAGCCTCTTTAATGCGTCATTGAGTAGTTCACATATAAGATTGCCGAGCACCGATCACCCGCCAATGTTCCCCTGATCACAGCGTTTAAAATCCTGTAGTGTGAACTTGGCTTTACGACAGTCAAAACGATAACTCTCTCCAGGATGATTCAGTATTTCTATTATTATACTTGATCTGTAGATAAAGATCAGTGGTTTTGCATAAAAGGACTTTGCTGGAGTTTAATGCTGTTTCTAAATCATGTTACTTTCTACTGGGTGTCTGTTAGATCACAACACTTGAGTAGAGAGCAGAACACTATAAATTGTTCTTCACATGCACCGTAACCTAAATTTAAAACTGTTAAAAGAAAAGGCTCAATAAACTGTTGCACTGATATAATACACAATGCATCGATATCTCTTCCTTTGCTTTAAACGTTTCTATGCGGAGCACTGCACGTTGTGACTCCGTGTTGCTTCAAGCGCATTATTCTGCACATGTGATACGCATAGCCTAAGCGCTTTGTGCCGCTCTGTATAGTAGCCTTTCATGTTATAATACTTTTATAATGATTATTAATAGTCTTTCTTGTTCTGTCCTGTCTATCATACTGTATGTTGCTGCCTCACCACTGTGCTATACATTAAAAAAATGTCTTTTAATTTTATAGCATGTATTTATATATAAATATATATAAAAATATATTCTGCCTCATCATGCTGTCCCCATTGTGCAATAAACATATTTATTAGTCAAGTCAAGTCAAGTCTGCTTTATTGTCAATTCTTCCACATGTACAGCACATACACACAGAGAATTGAAATTGCGTTACTCTCAGACCCTTGGTGCATACAGATAACATATATATATATGTGTATATGTATATATATATATGTGT